CAAGAGGCCCCACGAGGCCCCAAGAGGCCCCCAAGAGGCCCCACGAGGAGCCCGAACGACTCACACCAGGACGAGGGGCCCGAACGACTCACACCACGAAGAGCCCGAACGACTCACACCACAAGGAGGGGCCCGAACGACTCACACCAGGACGAGGCGCCCGAACGACTCACACCACGAGGAGCCCGAAGGACTCACACCACGACGCGGGCCCCGAACGACTCACACCACGAGGAGCCCGAACGAGTCACACCAGGAGGAGGGGCCCGAACGACTCACACCAGGATGAGGGGCCCGAACAACTCACACCACGAGAAGCCCGAACGACTCACACCAGGACGAAGAGCCCGAACGACTCACACCACGAAGAGCCCGAACGACTCACACCAGGAAGAAGGGCCCGAACGACTCACACCAGGACGAGAAACCCCAAACGACTCAAATCACGAGGAGCGCTTTCTCTCCCTCCTCCTCCGCCTCGTCCTTCTCCCGCTCCCCTCGCAAGGAGGATGTATAAGGAGGCAAGGGGAAGGAGGAACAGGGGAGATATGCGGGGCCAAGCGGACACACGTCTGAAAAACACGACTGTCGGCATGCTTCGCGAGAGTTGCTGCTGTGAGATGGGCTGGTGGGGATACGCGAAGCGTCAAGAATTGTCCAACATGTGCAGACTCCCCCCCCCCCGCGACGGGGCGGAGCCTCGGCCGCGCTCCTCGGTCTCGGCATGCGCCTCGTGCACGAAGGGGAAGTTCGCGTCGCCCCCGAACGCGGCGCCGGGCCCGCAAGGCGCCCATTGGGGGGGCAGAAAAATCCAGCAGGGCACGGGCGCCGCCGCCATCAGGAACGCTGCATTTGACATAGCTAACCGCGCCGACATCTCGGCGACCCGTGCTCTCTCTTCCAATCGACGTAGACTAGTGTGAAGACGGTGAAGCTCCTGCTCAGCTGGGGTCTTCCGACCGCCATCGGCCCCGTTCAAAGCGACGAAATCTAGGGTGATGGCGCGGGCTCGCTCGAGGTTCGACGTTCGACCTGTGATCATGAGTTCGCGGCCTGCCCCGCGGCCCCTGTTACGGATGCTCGAGCGGCAATGCGTGAGGCCGAACACGATGGCTGCCTGGCTGCTGGTGATCGTGCCGATCGGACAGCTCTCCCGAAGCGTTGCGACTGGCCCATCTGAAGTCGGACCGAAATACATGCTCGTCATGCCGAAGACTACTGAACGCTGATCCAATCCCATACGGCCGATCCCATACGGCGGCGGCCAGGCAGTCAATGAGGGCAGAGGGGGGACATGGGGGCGGGGAAGCAAGAGGAGGAGGAAGAGGGGGGAAACGAGGATCGCAACGCATAAAAACATGACGTTTCAGAGCATGTGTATGCTTTCCCCCCCAATGTGCAATGGGCCCTCGCGACCACGGCTGGACCTGCCTCGAAACCAACGCTAGCTGCCGCGGAGCCCTTTGCCCCCGCTGTGACCCCCTGCTCTCTCGATCCCGACTCCTGCAACCCAGCTCCTCCTCGACTTGCCTGATCCAATGCGCGCCCCCCACCCCGCCCGCGCCGACAGGTGAGAGCTCGCGCGGGCGGCGGCCGACCCCCGCGCAGGGCCGACGGCGGAGGAGGGAGGAGACGGGATGGAGAGGATGGAAATGAGGAAGGGGCATGGGACTTGAACGTGTATTGCAATATCAGTTATGCGTCTGCGGGTGTGCGGGTGCGCGGGTGTGTGGGTGTGCGGGTGTGCGGGTGTGCGGGTGTGCGCGTGCGCGTGTGCGTGTGCGCGTGCTCCTCCTCTCTGCCCTCCCTCCTCGGCGTCGTCGCCCTCCTCCTCCCCCCCCCTGGGCAGCGGGGGTAGGGCGAAGGCAAAGGTGCTCTTTATCGGGAACGCTTTAACAAGAATATTTGAACAGTACTCGAAATCCACGCCTGCTTTTGTAATGTATATGGTTGTTAATAACGCAAGCCATCTCCGCAACGGCAAAGCTGTCTGTAGGACAGTACTCGACAGCGTGCGCGTCGGCGGGCGCCGCGCCATTGTGCACCTCGGCGCACGCAACGCCAATAACGAAACAGTGTGGAATCGTCGGGGCTCGATCGAAACGCGCATCGGCACAGCGCGCGACCCCGATCACGCCGACCATGCCGTCGGCAACGCGAACAGACAACACGTCACCCACCGAAATCTTACCACGGGGCCAACGCATGCTCCGAGACAGATGCACGCGGGATGGCCTCGCCAGCGGGGAAAAGTGAACTGCCATCCATGACGCGTCCACGACGGGCTCTTTCAAACAAAACGGATGCTCCCCCTCGCCAGACCGCATCATGTCTAAAAAATCATGAAGAAGCCTAGCGAGAACTTGGCGGGATGCGTTCTGGACATTCGGATTGGCAACTGCTTTCAGCTTCCGATTGCGCCTCTCGTTCGAGAAACAACTTCCGCCTGCCCCTTCCCGAGCGAGGGGCCCAAGTTCTAGAACCCGTCGACCCGACCTTATCCGCGCGAACCCGACGGGGGGCGGGGGTGGGTGGGTGGGTGGGAGGGCGGAAGGCTATTATCTAGATTCGCTTTAGTGCGGGCGATGCACCTGGGCACATGGTGCTGCAAGTGCGCCTTGATCTTGCACGACGCCTCCCCGTAAGTATTTAGCATGAGGGAGTGGTGCTGCCAGAGCAAGGTCGCGAGCTGGGTTGTCTTCGGCACCGCGTCGTCACCAGCTGTTAAAAGATCGCAGAGGTCACTCAGGACTTGTATGCACCGTCTATGCGGGCACTCCACGTCCAGGGAGCCACGGGCAAACGTAGCTAGGACCGTTACCACAGTCAAGCACTCCCCAGCGAATAACTTCATGTGGTGACCGTGCGCGTTCACGACGCGGTCTTGGAACAGCCGCAGCGGCAATTTTCTTACGATTTTCTGATCGGCCAAAAGCTGTCTCTGAAACGCATCCAACGCCTCCAGCGTCACGCCTTTTTGCAATAATGTTAAACACAGTTCATTGCAATTGATCTGAGCAGTACCGCCGCTTGCACATATGATGTGCATCCAATCCCAATATGTGTGGCTTTGTGGTTTGAAAACGCCTCGCAATGCTTTGTCGAACAGCAAAGCCCCTGGTTCCAAGCGCAGACCAGCCTTCTGCTCTAAAGCCTTAAAATCTTTTTTGCTCAGCAAAGGCTTTTGCTCCTCAAGCTTATCGCACAGCTCCCAGAACGATTCATCTGTGTGGAGGTCGAACTCACAAGGCGGCGTGACAGCGTAGTGCCGTATATATGTATGTCCCTGCACTTTTGAAGCGTCACCATTGTATATATTCTTACAAGAAGAACAGCACACAGATCCGCTCGCCCCCTTGGTGGATTTCATTTCTTTGTGAGCTTTCTCATCTTGCAGCACGGCACACAATTCTCCAGAAAATAAAAACATGCCTCCGCGTCCGTCTCTCAAACGGATGCCCACGCTGAACGAAAACATGTGCTGGGTAAACATATGGTGCAGTGCAGATCGGATGACGCCGCTGTACTGGCAACGAACTGCTTTTAGATCGTCATACTTGAGAACGCCGAGAGGTATCCACCCTGGGTCCGAGGATCGGAAATATGACGGTAGGTTTACCACCGTCCAATACACGGATAGCCATTTGTTTGCTGCGTTAGGCCGCAGCTGGTTCCCCGACGATGTCTCGTCTCCCCACACCACCAGGCTGGCTTTACCACTGCCGACGGAGTCGTGGAGAAGCCTCGCAAACCATGAACACTCCTCGCACATTACAGACAACACTGCGAACGGGTTAATGATATCCCACGACATCTCGCCACCGTCTTCGCGAGGCAACGCTATGTTGGTTATCATTCGGCCATAATCCGTGCTGCGGTTGCCGATCTCATTGACCTGGTCCTGTAATTGCCGATGCCCCTGGATTGCACTGCCTTCGTGGTCACTGCCGTCGTCCTCTTGCAAGGCATTCACCATGCGGCAGAGGGCGCGGCATGGAACGTGCAAGCCGCCTGCCTGCAATGCTGCGACGATTCTGGCTGAACGGGCCTCCGTCATAGCGCATCTGAGCCAAAATGGCTACTGAAACATGAGCCAAAATGGCTACTGAAACTTATGTAATCTTATGTTAACTTATGTTAACTTATGTTACCTTATGAAAATATGCGGTGAACTTGCTTCTGGATAGCAACTACTACGCAAGTTGTCCTAATAAACTTGTAAACAATTGCGCTAAGTCTCGCTAAATCCACTGTAACTCAAGATATAACGGAAGAGAGGCCAGGGACACAAAGTGCGCGCTCCCGCGGGCGCTTTGAAATGTGTCGCCCGGTTGGGTTGCGGTTGCGCGCCCGCGGGCGCTTTGAAATGTGTCGCCCGGTTGCGGTTGCGGTTGCGGTTGCGCGCTCCCGCGGGCGCTTTGAAATGTGTCGCCCGGTTGCGGTTGCGGTTGCGCGCCCGCGGGCGCTTTGAAATGTGTCGCCCGGTTGCGGTTGCGGTTGCGGTTGCGCGCTCCCGCGGGCGCTTTGAAATGTGTCGCCTGGTTGCGGTTGCGGTTGCGCGCCCGCGGGCGCTTTGAAAGGTGTCGCCCGGATGCGGTTGCGGTTGCGGTTGCGCGCTCGGGTTGCGCTCCCGCGGGCGGTTTGAAATGTGTCTCCCGAGCTGTCCCCTGACGTTCAGTCAGCCAGTCATCAGTCAGCCGGCGGGCACGGAATTTCACCTGGCTCCGCGGGGAAAAAATATGACGTCGGGGATCTGGATATGCCGACCCCTATATCCCAGGCTTCGCAGGTTTGTCGAATGGGCCAACAATGTTTGGCCCAACCCATGGGATGTACGAGGGGGGGGGAGCGTCCATCCTCGACATGGGGTGCGTCCGAAGAGCCCCCTTTGGGGTGTATCCCAGGGCTCCCCTCCTTTCCTGAGCGGCTTCCTTTCTCATCGAACCGTCGGGGGCTGGGGGAGAGCCATCGCCCGCGCGTGTTCTTCGTCTCCCTCCGGCCTCCGGCGCGCACCCCCACAGGGCGCCCAGCCAGAGCAGCCTGCAGAGGCGGACGTCCAGGGGCAGCCACAGCGCCAGGCGGCCCACCGCCGTGACCTCCGCGCGCTCGCCCTGCTCGGTGAGCACCCCGAGCTCGGCGAGGTCCCGCACCGCAGCGTCGACGGCCTCCGCGCTCGGGGGCATCGGCAGCTGCCGCAGCAGCGCGCCCGGCGAGGTGTCGGAGGCCGCCAGCCGCCGCGAGGCCTCCTCGTCATGCTGCAAGGCCCTCGTCAGGCCGTCGCTGACCCCCTTTGCCTGCAGCCAGAGCCTCGTGAGCGGGGTGCGCAGGATCTCGGGCTCCTCCGAGAAACCAAACGAGGACCCAAAGCCTTTGGGAGGGGACCTACAAGCTAGGAGGGCCAACACACATGAGGGATAGCGGGTCTGTTCTGCAGATGCACCGAACGTTATACTGTCTTGAGGCCACGTCTTCAGGCCACGTCTTCATCGTATTATTAGGGTTAGGGGTTCTGTTGTTCGCGATGATCCTCGAAGTCCGGCATGTGCTCCGAGAAGGCCTTCGTGAAGAGCTGTAGGCACCACCCGGGCCTTGTGCGCCCTGCCCGGCCCTGGCGCTGCTTCAGGGACGCCCGGGAGCACCAACTCGAGGTCAGCTGGACCATGCTCGGCTGGCGGGGGTCCGAGAAGGTTGTCTTGTACACGCCGAAGTCCAGGACGCCGCACACGTCGGGCAGCGTCACAGAGGACTCCGCGATGTTCGTCGCCTGACACGCCCCCGCCCCCTCCACGAGCCATGCCGATCTGGAGCCTGCTCCCGATCTTGATCAGGCGAGCCCGAACCATCCAAGAGCGCGACGCATCGCTCCGATGAGTGGATGATGCTCAGGGGCGGGCTCGCAGGGAAGAGGGTGTGGGGTGTGGGGCTGCTTGACCAGCGCTGTACTCTAGCACCGGGGGTCAGCTGACCCGTGTCAGTCTGACCCCGGGTCAGTCAGGTCTTGCCCGATCCTGCAAGATCCTGCAAAATCCTGGACGCTAACCCGTGTCATTGCAGCCTTGAACCCCGACAGCAGATTGTGTTGTATCCTCGGGGGACCTTGTCTGCCCCGTGGCGCCGCGATCCATGTCGGATCCGTGTCGAATCCAGGTCGAGCGCGCCGAATTCGTGTCGAAACCGTATCGAAGCCGCGTGCAGCATATGTCGGAGTACCAGAAAAAGACTGCAACTTACAGGGCAGGAGAATCCCCCGAAGATGTAACGTAAAAGTCTGCACCCCAGCAGAGTCAGCTAATGGATCATCCAAGCTCTGGGGAAACCAACAAAAGTACCGAGACCGCTACTCCCCAGACCTTTCCCAGGGTGCGGTCCGACCAGAATTCCGAAGCGAATCCAGCGGTAGCGACGAGGGCCCCCCAGGAGGCCCACAAAGGAGAACACGAGGCGAGGGTAGAGGTATGGGTTCTTTTTCCTCCTCCGAAACTGACTACCTACCAAACCACCCCAACCCAACCCGAAGACTCGAATTTCGGGTTGGGGGGGGTACGAGCTTCATGTGTGTTTTATCAACGTTCCCCGACCCCCCCAACTGGAAATGGAGGGCAAATTGGGGCCTTCGGGTTGGATTGGGGTGGTTTGGTGGGCGGTGAGAAACTCGTCGCCCGATGGGGCCCTGGTGGGCGGGTCCGGGCCCTCTAAGCGCCCCGCGAGCACCACGTGGCAAACGCCCGGCTTGGGCCTCGCGAGCACCGCGTCCTGGTCCTCGTTCGGCACCTGGCCGCCGGAGATTCGTCGGGAACCCTCGGCGCTGACCCTCCAAGGCGCTCTCTATGGGAAGGGCTGGTCACCGACACGGGACGCACAGGGACATACTGATACGACATGTCCTCCTTGGCGGCACGCGTCCGACCCGAATATATAATGCACCCATCTTGTAGCGCATCGATTCCCGAGCGACGTGGCCAGAAAGCGCCGGCCACGACGCATGCACTAAAATATGTCGGGGCGGCGCCGGCGGCACTCGAACCCGAAACGCTTCGCGAGGCATGGGCAATGGGTGGATCAGCTCGTAATTAGCATGGGGGAAGCGGGTCCTGCGAAGGAAACGAACCTGGACCCCGGGGCCTCCCCCCAGGACGAGATCTTCATTCCGCGTCGTTTTCCGGCTGTCCCGGGGCCCGTGGAACGGCCCTGGGCAATCGTGACCAGGGATGCGCGGCTTGCCGACCTTGGCGGGCGAGACGCGACAGCGCAGCCTGCCTGCGTGGGTTCGGTCCCGCCGCCCCCCCGAACGCCGCGCATCAGATGCCGCTCTGGCTCGGGCGTTGCTGGATGGGGGTGGGGGGGAGCGAAGAATCGGGGGGGGGGAACGCGCGCCCTTCGCGTCCCTTTTGGGCCCCCGGGGGCCCTTCAGGGTGCAAAAGATGCACCGTTCTTCACCCCCCCATCGTTCGTTCCCGCGTCGCCGCGCAACGCCCGACTGGCCACCCTCGCCGCGCAGCCGACTGGTGGGCGCCGAGCCCAGACCCCCGACGTCATTTTTTCATGACGTCGACCCCCAAAGTTATCTCTGTTTCTTTGCTTTGGCCCAAAGTCAGGGGGCGTAAGACCCGGGTACAGGGGACTCGGAAATCCCCGACGAGGTCGCCACAAAAATGACGAGGCCGAGCCTGCATTTTGACGAGGCCTCCCGCTGCAGACGTCCCACGAAACTCCTACTCGTCAAAATCCGAATCGCGGTCGTCAAAAAAAGATGGCGAACCCGAGTTCTGGCAAACCCGGGTCTTACGCTCCCCCGACAAAGCCCGGATGAAGGTCTGATTTATGTCTGTGATTCAAGTCTGGCCCTCTGCACCAACTCTGATTTAGGTCTGACTGGAACTCTGATTTCACTCTCTAACCCGAAGACCCAAGCCTGAGTTAGGTATGACTGGGAACTCGAATATAGGTATGATTTCAGTTTGGTTCGGGCCGCCGAAACCAATGTCGCGGCGTCGGCCCAGAACGCTGCCGGGTCGGCCCCGTGCGCATACGTCTTCAAGAACAACAGAATACGCAAGCCAAGAGGCAGGTCATGGCTGGGGGCCAGCCGCCAGCTGCCACATACTGCAAGCTGGGCCCGCCTGCGCACGCCGCCCTGCGGCAACGCTAAGGCTAAGGCCTGCGCGGGGGGCGCGGGGCAGCGCCCCCCGCCTGCGCGGCCCTGCCCAAAACTGGACAACGGCAGCTGGGACGAAAAAAGGCTCACCCGAGGCTCGCCCGTCAGGGCTGCCGGCTGCCGCGCCGCGAAAGGACGCGCAGCGCGGCAACCGCCCCGATCCCCGCCGCCCGCCCGGGACAGGTCGGGGGCAGGCAGCGCAGCGGAGAAACGCCGTGCTCTTCGGAAGGTTCGGGGGCGCGGGATGCGCCATGGGAGGCTTCTGAGAGGCTTCGGGGAATGGGAAGGGCCCGGGAGGGACTGGGAGGGTGTTCGCGGGAGGAGGTGGCCCGGGATGCCTCTCCCGCCGGTTGGGAGGAGTGGGGAAGGCTGGGACAAAGGTTAGGAGGAATGTCGAAAGCCTAGCAGTGCTAGGATGCATGTGCATGAGGGGCTTGGCTCGGGAGTTTTTCGGAAGTTGCCGGAGGGTGCCAGAGCATTGGGGACGCTTCCAAACGCTCGGAACAAAATCGGGAGACAGCGGGAGGCTTTGGAGGGACACGGAAGGTGTCGGAGCATCTTGGACCCCAGCGGGAGCTCCTTCGGGTGCATTCGGGGATGAGTTTTACAAGTAGTAGGAGCCGGGGGGGCGAAAAATGTGTCAAACTTGGCTCGCGCTGTAAGCGGGCTGGTTTTGCCCGACATTTGCCTGGCACTTTCGCTTCTCAGATACGTGTTCTCCCCCCTCGTTGTTCGTCGTCGGCGGGGGGGATCGCGCATGGATGGGTTAGTCGTGTCTCTTGCTTTGTGGTGTAAATAAAGCGGCTAGGAAGCCGACCGAAAAAAAGGTGCGCCGCATGGCCCCGCGCCGGTTCGGAAAGGTCAGGGGGACGTGAGACGTGGTTACAGGGGACTCGGAAATCCCCAACGAGGTCGTCAAAAAATGACGAGGCCAAGCCTGCATTTTGACGAGGCCTCCCGCTGCAGACATCCCACGAAACTCCTCCTCGTCAAAATCCGAGGCTCGGTCGTCAAAAAACGATGGCGAACCCGAGTCCTGGCAAACCCGGGTCTTACGCTCCCCCGAAAAGGGGTGGAGGGGTGGGGAAGTTTTCGTCGGCGTCGGAGGCGGCGCGAAGCTCCGGAAGATTGTCGAAGCTCCGGCGGGGCGCGACGGGGCTGTGCGGGACATCGCGGCGGGGCGGGGGCTGCGGCCTGGGGGCTGCCCCCGTGCCGGTGTGGGCGCCGCCGGGGGGGTGCTGCGGAGGGGCCTCCGGCGGGCTTTCAAAGGAACCGTTGGTGCTCAATTCAGGCCACGCCGCGCAGGGGTTGTCTTGGGCCGTCTGGCGCCGCAGTGCTGTCGGGCCACCAGGCGCTTTGGAAGGCTGCTTGAATGGGTGCATCTGGGCAGTCTTGTGCCTTGGCGCTCTCCGGGGCCCTTGGGCGGTTTTCTTTAGCCATCTGGGGGGTCCGTTGGGCGGTCAAGTGCTGCTCTGGGAGAATATTGGGGCAATCCCGGGTTGTCTGGAAGCCCTCGCTGGCCGCCTTGGGGCGATGGAGCGGGCCAGGGCACGAAAACCGCAGAAAAACATAAGGGGCGCACATGGCGCTGCCCATCGGAAGTTGTATGCAATTCTATGTTTTTGAGGGGGGTCCTGTTGGGTAGTTTTGCAGAGGTCCTGGGGCGCGTGTGCTTGATTTGCGTTGGGGCAGCTGTGGACCCTCGCGGGAGGGCCGCGGCCGTTTTGGACGCCATCTTGGGCAGTCTGGGCGCTTCAGCGCGAGGTGCGCGCGCGGCGCGTCTACGGTTCGAACGAGACTGGGGGGGCCGAGGACGAGGCGGAGGAGGAGAAAGGGAAGGATGGCGGGGGCGAGGGCGGGCCTCGAGGGCGGGAGCGAGGTCGGAGGACCGAGCGGGAGGGCCCTAGAGCGGGAGCGAAAGGGGGGGAGGAGCGAGGGCGGGAACGAGGGCCAGAACGAAGGCCCAAGCGAAGGCGGGAACAAGGGGCAGGGGCAGGAACGAGCGCGAGAGCGGAGGAGGAGGCGAGGGCGGGAACTGGGGTGGGAACAAGGGCGGGGGCGATGGGCGAGAACGAAGGCGAGACTGAGGGCGGGAACGAGGGCGGGGGCCGCGCCCGAGAGCGAAACCCCTCTTCGCCCTCATGCCCGCGCCGCCCCCGTGGAACGGGGAAGGCGCATCGCTGCGCGACTGCCCCTTCTGCCGCTCGCGCGCGGATCCAACGCTCCAGCAAGACCCAGACTCCGACGTCATGATGTTTGTATGACGTCGATACCCAGAGGTCTCGACCCATTCCCCGGGACCGGCTTTTCATCCTGAGTCGTTTTCTGACGGCCCCGTGGCCCAGCAGGGGACCCGGGAGGCCGAAAATAGCGAAACACCTCCCGTCGTGATTTGCTTTTCACGGCGCGATTCTTCTTTCCCTGAGGAATCCGATTGAATTCCTAAGGATTCCGATGGGTTTCCTTTTGAAATCCGATGGATTCCCTACGAATGACCATGGATTCCCTGAGGAATCCGATGGGTGTCCAACGGAATTCTAAGGAATTCCGCCGGAACCCGGTGGATTTCCCATGGAATCCCATATGCCTCATGCCCCCTTCATTTGCAGGAAGACAAGCGCACTTGCGCAGCGCGCCCCGCGCCCTCCGCCCCGAACTGTCAGAACTCCGATGATACTCTGATTCAACTCTGTTTTGACTCTGGCCTGAAACTCTGATTCATCAATGGTTTAGCTGAAACTCTCATTTAGCTCTGCTATGAAACTTTGACGCAATTCTGATTTAGCTCTGATTCACCTCTGTTTTCAGCGGCTGGGGACAAAGCAGAATCAGAGTTAAATCGGAGTTCAGGCCAGAGCTGAATCAGGGTTCCAAAAACATCAGACATGAAGCAGAACTTCGGGCCAGAGTTGTATCAGAGTAACAATTATTATTCGAGCTTTTAGAGTTTAGCTTTTGAGGCTAGTTTGCCTCCAAAATACACACTTACCCCCGGAGGTTTCGACCTATTCCCTGGGTCCAGTTGTTCATTCTGAGTCGTTGTTTGACGACCCCGTGGCCCGATAAGGACCCCCAGATGCCCGAAATTGAGAAACACCTGCCGTCATGATTTTCTGATTGCTCGAGGGGGTCTGGGAGACGAGTCTGCCCGCCTGGGAGTGGAGCGCGAAGAGGCGGAAGACCTTGGGCGCCCCGGGCTCGTCGCCTGGGCCAGCCGCGGACTCGGACCCCACCTGCGACCGCCGCCCCTGTGAGCGACGCTTGGCAGGGGCCGTCAGCTCCTCGAGGTCCTTGAGCTCTCCGTCCTCGTCCTCGCGGAGCATCTCTGGCCTCGGGGGCGCGCGAACGGGCACGTCCGTGGCCCCGGCCATGGGCAGGGACCAATAGAGTTTGCTGTGGATCCGGATGAGGTCTGCGTATCCGGGGATGAACACCAGGATCGTCGAGCCCGCCTCTGCGACGAGCGGGATCAGCGAGATCGCGAGCTTCTCGACGTCGGGGTGGACCCTCGCAATGACGCTCTCCTTCGCCCGCTCCGCGCCCCCGAAGACCGCGGACACGCACCTGGCGGCCGTCTTGCTCACGGCGTCTGGGAGCCTACTCCTGGGGCCCCTGCCTTCGGACATGTCCTCGAGGTAGAGCGTCTCCACCGGGAAGATGTTGCTGCCCACAGACAGCGGGGCCCAGGCGGCCACGGGTGCAGCCGCAGGCAGGGCAGCGGCGTCGGCCGCGGCCACACCACAGGCCCTGCATACCGCCGCGGCGCACGGCGTGCAGGTCAACGCCCATCCTCCTCTGCCCCAGCCGCCCCCGCACCTGTCGCACTGGCGACCTCGGCCTGGCCGCGCCCGCACCCAGGCACCGCGGCAGCCGGGGCACGCAGGCAGCCCGGCCTGGCCGGGCGAGGCCGGCGCAACGGCAGGAACAGCAGCAGCCCCTGCAGGGGGCATGAACTCCTCGAAGTACTTCGTGAAAAAGCCACCGTCGATCGTCGCGGACATGATCACGACACGCGGCCCTGGGTCCGCCGATGCCCCGCTCACCAAGGGCCAGAGGGCGTGTGAGACGCGTGGCTGCCTCCCCGCCCTCCTGGCCGAGGATGCCTTCTGAGATGGGCTCCAGAGGAGCTCCAACGCCAGAGAGGCCTCGAGACAGCCAGGATCGCGCCCGGAGGGCCCAGGACGCCCTCAAGACGCCCCCAAGTGGCCCCAAGAGGATCCCCACGAGGGAGGGCCTCAAGGGGGGCAAACACCACGCATGCTCTGCAACTGGATGCTCGTGTTCTCGCCTTCCCGGGCCTTTTTGTAACCCCAGTGCAGTTATCGTGCTGCCATACGGAGCGCCA